AGGTAGCACATTGGTTTGGTGCCCTTCGGTGTCCCTCCTGCGACCCAAATGTGTGTTTTTTCGTCAGCGCCTTTGGTGACACTTGTTTTTGCTGAGCCGCTTGTTTGGGGTGACATCAGGGGAGCACATTGGGAGCTAGGATTCATGTGGAGAAGCAAACGAAACAGTGACAAGAACCGGACGCTTCAAGGCTTCCCCCATGAACCTGTTGAACCAAACCGTGAGTTTCACCTGGGCGTCTCTGTTTCAACCGGGCTCCCTAAAGCGCCACGCGCGCTACGCGGACCCCCGACCTTCGAAACCGAGGTGGGCCCAGCAACAAGGCCCAGCACTTCTTTGCGCCCGACTTGGGGGCCAACGAGTCAGTGAAAGGCCAGCCGCCTGCCGCTGCGCAAGCGCCGGTTGGGGTAGTTTTTTCAGGGCACCAATTCTGGAGCGAACGTAGATTTGAAAACGAAAGAGAAGCCACCATGCTTGGAAGATCCCCCCATTGTTTACTGGTTAAGTTGGATTGATGAATTGCTCGTTTGGCTTGTCAACCAGTATGCATAGGGGATCCGCCACCCCCGCAAGAAGACCAGACTACCAGTCTCCTGGCGTTTTCGCACGTTTTGTAGAGGCCTACACTCCAACCCAAGTCTGCTGGCTTCTGGGTTGAACCTCCGAGTTGAGCCCAGAAATGGGCCGTTTTTCCCGCAACGCGATTCTTCTAGAAATCGGTGTGTCCACAAAGGGTGGCCCAAAGAATAGTTGGATTCCTTTGGGTTGGCCTTTAAACGCCACCCAAAAGAGGGTCGGTCCACCATCCTGACAAACTCCCAGACGGGCGTGTCCAAAAAAGGGTGGGCCCTGGAATGAGTCTTTGTGAGTGACCTTCGCCCCTCCCTTTCGCCCTGTCGCCCTTTCGGCCTTTCACTTTGGTGAAGGCTGAGGAGTTCTTTTGGGGACGCCTCCGGAATGTGTGGTGTCCCTTCAATATCGACCCCGGGTTTATCAGCTCAACACAAAGACAGGCTTCAGACAGGGTACCTTAAACTGGTTGCATGTCGAGTGGTTCCGATATGTCGTTTAACTAATAGGCCCAGTCAGAGCAAGCCACGTTTACCGGCTGATTCAAAGGATTTTCTTATGAACCAGCTTGTTTTGGACGTGTCCGTTCAGGAGCCCTGAAAAAGCGACGAAAAGCTGCCTTCAGAGTCATTTGGCTGATGTCACGTACATGGACTGTTGGCCAGTGGGTTCGTCTCCGGGGCTTGGGGGATACTGGACGTGCGGGCTACTTAAGACCAAGGACCAGCCATGCTCCCCTTGCCATGGCTCTGAATCAGTATTGGATAAACAGCTCCAAAGAAGCTTGAACCAGCAGCAAAGACCCCAAAAGAAGCAAGCAGCCCTTTGTCATGATTTTGAGTGGAGGTCATCAAACTCAGAAGGGGATGCTTCCCTGTCAACTTCGGGGTGGCTTTGAGAATGGAACACGGGGCCAGCTGGGAGGCATGAAACTTTACCGCCTCGTCGCGGAAGCTGACCGCGCCAAGCTCCGGGACTTTTTGAAGCGGGGTGCCCAGGGCAGCGCTGTGAATGCGAATTGGTGCACTTGGATGCCATGGAGGGTGGTGTGTTTGAGGCTAGGCTTGAGCAAAAATGTAGGGCCATGACTTTCTTGTAGGCTCTAGGGACATTTCCCCTTCCGATGCCCCCCAAGGACGCCTTCAGGGGGGACCCTTCCTTTGGGTTGGTGTGCAACCAAAAGGAACACCCTCAGTGGGTTCTAAGTCGGACGAGCCCGAACGAACCCCACACTCGCGCCATCCGAGTCGGGTGAGCATCAACAGCGAGACCTGCGAAACCGTGGACATCACCAGCGAGAGCTCGATGTCCTTGCAGGGCGGAGGCCACGAGTTCCGACGTTCGGAGTGGCGTGGGTCAAACTTGTTTTTTTGAACGAGTTCAACGATTCAGGGGTGAAACCGGACTGACGCGAGTGTTTGTTTGAATTGTTTTGCTTGTTTTGGTGTGTTTTGTTTTGTTGTGTGTCTTGTTTTGTTGTGTGTTTTGGTTTGTTTGTGGGCTTGCTTGCTTGTTTGCTTGTTTGCTTGTTTGCTTGTTTGCTTGTTTGCTTGCTTGGTTGCTTGGTTGTTTGTTTGTTTGTTTGTTTGTTTGTTTGTTTGTTTGTTTGTTTGTTCGCTCATCCGCTCGCTCGCTCGCTTTCTTTCTTGCTTGCTTGCATGTGTGTTTCTTTGCTGTCCAAAACGCCGTCGTTGGGGTGATGGTTTAAGTGTTTGCCTTTGTTGAAGTGAAGTGAAGTGAAGTGAAGTAAGTGAAGTGAAGTGAAGTGAAGTGAAGTGAAGTGAAGTGAAGTGAAGTGAAGTGAAGTGAAGTGAAGTGAAGGGAGGCATCGGAGCATTGCCCGCCCGAAAAGCTGCAAGATAATAACAGGTGTGTGGCCCTTCCAAGGCACCCCAGAATGTGGCTGGTGTCCATCCATGTTGCTTTCCCGGATTGAACACTGGCAATCAAACAAAAAACCAAGTCATCCGACTTGGGAATGGCTGCCGAGGCATCCAAAAGCAGGGTACTCCAAGCCTACGGATGACCATACCTGGATCAAAAATGCTTATATGGTTTCGCTTGTCCCTTTTCAGAGCTGCTATTTGTTTATCTTGGGATTTCGGAGCAGCCCCATGCTTGTAGATGGGGTTGGGCCTGTGAGAAGGGAATCCCCGTGAAGTCATGGGAATCCGCTTTGGTATCACTCGAAGGGACATATGTTCGATGATCAACCCAAGGCCTTAGTGTTTGGACCGAGTCAACGGAGTCCGTGCAGGAAACCCAGCCTCGTCCATGTCGATCCAGATGGGCGCCTGCGCCGGAAACGTTTGGCGTGTGTGGTTCTTGAACAAGGGTGCCCTTTTGTGGCTTCGTTCGAAGGAAAAACAAAAGGAAAGCATGTTCCCTTTGTTTGTTTGTGTTTCTTTCTCTTCTTTTTTTTTTGGGGGGGGGGGCAATTTTGGCACATTGCGAACACTTCAGATGCCTGAGATGAGTGTTTCTTTTTGGAATCCCTTGCTTGGTCGGTTTCAAAGGGAGCCAGCCGTTTTGAGGTCCCAAATTTTGAGATGCCCCCAGATGTTCGAAGAAACCCCCAGAGGTTGCTCGTTGACAAGTCTGGGCAAGTGTGTTTTCAGTTGGGATTGTGCCTAAATGTGTAGTACAGTACGTGTTAAAATCGGGAACCCCGAAAAACATGTTGTTATTCTTTGGGTGTGCCTTTGATCCCACCTAAAAGGGGTCCCTCAACAAGGCACAGACGACACACCCATACAGTATTTATTATTGACCGGATGACTTTTGTACGGATTCCGTTCCAGCTTGGCCCCTGGTTCCGACCTACGGCACTGAGGGCGTTTCCACCGAGCTTTGGGCTTCACTTGGGTTTCTCTCGGGTCAAAGTAGATGGCACAACTCCCGTTTTGTGGGTAGGTAAAGGTGATGTCCAAACCAAAAAGCGGGCAGTTTGCCATCCACGCCCACCCAACCGTGCATTTTGTGCCGTTCAGCAAAACAGGTGCAAGAAAAATGCAAGATATGTGTTTTGGGACAACCGCTGGGATCTTCAAAACACCAGGCGATGTTCAATGCACAGGTCGGTCCAAGGATCCCCCAAAAACCTAAATACTAATTCAACCCAACATACTCAACCACAAAGTCATGATTCTTGCCCATCCTCCTTTTCGCAACTGTAGGTTTCGGAGTCTGCTTCTTGGCCCGAATTGCCCACTCCTCATGTCAAAGATGCACTTGGAGGGGGCTTTCTGGGGGGGACCTGCTGACAGAATCCACTTTGCTGCTGCAAAGGCCATCCCTTTAATCGCGAAAATGAGTTCAAGGCCATCCGCATCTGCAATCTCTTTGATTCTGGATTTTCGGGTCGGCACCATACCAAGCCCGGTTGTTTTCGGAATTTCTGGAGTACCCCCAGCCAAACCATGAATGGGCCAATCGCAGGGTTCCCTCCATTTCCCTTTTGAGAGCCTCCAACACTTGCAGTTTAAATGGACACCGCCAAAAAATCATCATCCACTTTTCCAGGGGCTTCCCCAACGGGACCCCTTTTTGGGAGCCCCTTTTGGGAGCCTTCCGGCCGCGTTTGAGGCAAGTCGGGGCGCGTGCTTCAGATCTTCCACGCCTCCATCCCTGTGGCCGACGCATCGACCAAGCCCCGGCACCTCGTGGGCATCCAGGACTGGGGGTGATACAAACCTTGGTGGCTCCCGAAGGCCATCCGGTGCCTTTTAGCTTGTTAGCTGTTTAGCTTTTAGTTTCCATTTTAGCCTTTTAGCTCTTTGGTGGTAGCCATTGACCCCACCAAAAGTTAGTCACTTTTGGCAGGGATCTGAAAACGGGCAGCCCAGAAACAATGGCTGTGGTTGTCAAAACCGTTTTGGGATCCCATTTTGGTTGGTAGGTGAATTCACCACAAATTTTAGAACCTATTTAAGTGGTTGGATTGGGACGTTCACTGAGGGGTACGGGTTTTTGACCAATGGCCAAATATACAAACAAACACCCTTTCATGGACTTGATTGCACTCCACTCCAGTATTCGATTACAAACGCAGCATCCGAAGCCAATACCGGCAAAGAAAAAGAAAGACAGAAAGCAAGAAAGAAAGAAAAGCCGTATTTCTATACTACTTTATTATCCAACGGTAGGTGTCTTCCCGAGTTCATGGACTTTATTACATTTTCTCGGACTTTACACTTCAGAAGACCATTTTCGTGGTACACAAAAAGTGTTGACTTCTTCTGGCCAATCCAGAAGAGAAAGAAGGGAAGAACGAAGCAAAGAACGAAAGAATGCAGGCAAAGCAAGCAAGTAAGGGAAGGAAGCAAGGAGGAGGGAAGGAAGGAAGGAAGGAAGGAAGGAAGGAAGGAAGGAAGGAAGGAAGGAAGGAAGGAAGGAAGGAAGGAAGGAAGGAAGGAAGGAAAGAAACAAACACACAAACAAACAAAATACAAACAAGCAAATAACTGACCAGTTTAGATGGCAGGCTCTGCACTATTTGTAGGTAGTCATTCTATCAGACCGGAAGTTCTTGCCACAGAACATGAACAAAAGCTGTCCGGTGCAGAACCACTTTGCAACCTTTGGTGCGAAGCTTGACCCAGACGGCAAAGTCGAGCTTCTATCTTAGGGTTTTTGGCCCAGTCGGATAAAACAACTGCGAGCCAAGTATCCTGCAATTACTTTTAATTCCCCTGGCAGGGAAACCAGCAAAAATGGCATTGATCACGATTAAGAGCTTTTCCAGAGCCCCCAAATATCAAACCCAGGCCTTGTGAGCCCGATTCCTGTTTACAGGGGCTTCCGGGAAATGTCGCGTCAGGAGCACTTCAGCGCAGCCACGCGGCCGGAGGTACAAGACATCGCAGAGCCAGACCTGGTCATGGACGGCTATGACGCAGAGCAGATGCAGCTCGACCGGAGAGCCCATTTCAAGCAGCTTCCCCGACTTGCCTGGAGCCCCTGATTTCCTCACTTGCGAAAAGTTGCTTGAAGCAACTAGACCCGGGTTCCCCTTTGAAAGGGGAACCTGGATAATGGTGTTTCAACAGGTATCCCAATGAGAACCCTGTAAGTCACAAGCGCACCACTCGGCCGCAATCGCAGATTTCAGGCAACTTACCCGGTGCCGTTGGCGCAACTTGTTTGGAGCCGCGAAAAGGCATGGAAAAGGGATGTGTTCAGGTTGTTCAAGTGCCCGGACAGGTCAGCGTTTCAACTGTCGGCGTTTCCATGGGGTGAGAAGGGGTGCGTGTTGGAGCTCGACCTTCAAAATGGTTTGAAACCTCCTTGAAGGTTCAGCACCAGTTGCACTTTTCCAGGGTTCGAGGTTTGGCCCTTTGCATGTTCCGTGGCGCGCGGTACGGAATTGTCCTTTCTTGCTATTGCCGTATCCCCGCTGGAACTGGTTTACCCTCTGAGCGGCTATGTGTTTTTTGGCACTTTCGCTTTGTGGGAAATGGCAAGACGGCTAAACTTTAGCACGTTGCCCATGGCGGCCCTGCTTGCGGTGTTGCATTCCCTTTGGGAGGGCGTGTGTGTGTGTGTCCCAAAAGGTTAACCACCTGTATGGGCAAAATGGCGCCCGCGGATTTCCACGTGCGGATTCCCACCCGCAAACAAAAACGAAGCGACGACAGCAAATCAGCTATGCGCGGGAAGTGTAAGATTCCTCCGCCAAATCTGCAGAAGTCGTTCCAATTGACCTGAGGCCGTTGCTTCTGGTCTAATGTTAACCCCGGATTGATTAAACCCCTGGTTGAGGGACGGGTTTCCACTCTCATGGAACCCAAGACCTTCATAGGACATTGCCCTAAGGCCTTGACCTAGTGACAGTGAACCAAAAACCGTGGAGTCAGTACAGCATAGCATAGGTTTGCTGATGTTTGCTGGATACGAAGTTGCTTTGTTTGGCCTCTTGGCGTTGGTCATCCAATCACGGCAGCTCCGCTGTTCTGCGTTGGTGCCATTTTCTGAGGGGAGTGTCTGATGTTCGCCTGGATGGCCAAGCCAGACATCTGTCAGTTAGTGGATGGGCCTAAGCTCGCCCCGACATTGCAAGCAGCTTGCCATGATGTAGGGCCCCCTGCTTGCAGCCCTTTTCTTTCTTCAGGTTTTCAGAACTCGCAGGTTTTGTTCCAGACCCCACTTTCCCTTGAGGAAGCCCCAAATCCACATGGATGGTTGAAAAACGAGGACCTACATGAGCTCTGTGGGTGGTTTTTACCCAGCGCACGCCTGAGGTACTTATCAACTCAGAATCTGGCACCTTGGCGCGATCCGATCCGAGCCAGCCCTTTGGGACGAGTCAAGGACTCCACTGGGACCCGAGCCATCTGTCACACTGGGATTGGTCCTGGCTTCCATGTCAGCTGTTTCCCGTTCCGCCTCATGTGCAAGGACCCCTTGGGGGGGGGGGGGGGCTCCTTGCTAAACCACAGTGCCTGCGCCAAAAGTATGTAAAGGTAAGAGAGCTTCTGCATGGGGAGTCCAGGACAAGTCGGACAAGCCCCTCTTTTTGCGCTTTTTGGTCGTAGATAAACAACCAAAAGGGTCCACCGCTCAGTTGTTCAGCGGCGCCCCTTTTTCCGGCTGTATTTCGTGGATTCTCACCAAGAGTCCACTCCGTGTCCTGGTTCCGCCGTTTCGGCTGGAAACCCTGGCTTCTTCTCCAGGCAGAGCAGCAGATGGGCGACTTGGCCTCGCGTTGTGTCGTTCACCACCCTCTTCCAGGGTTTCCTTTTGGAGTGTTTGGGTGGCGCTCCTTTCAGGTGTCCTCCAAAGGCCCGCTTGGTTAGGCAACCCAAGGGGTTCAACGAGATCATCCACCAAATATGATGCTGTAAAGGTCCATACATCATGTTCGCTTGGGGGCAGGGGTTTTGGTGGGGGTGGCAAGCCTCTTACACTCCCTAAATCTCCCTTGCCTGCCCCTTGCAACATGACGTTCTAATGTCCGGCCTTGAATTAAGGGAAGCAGAAGCCCGATGTTTGCTCCTGTGTTCTTTCCACAGGCCGTGTTTGGCGCCGGCCAAATGGGCATGTGTCAAAATCGGGGACCCCCAAAAGTGATTGTCCCTTTGGAAAGCGAAAAGGGGGGGTGCCAGGCCCAAAAACAGGCCGAATCCGACGCCTCGAGACGGCTGAGCGTCGTAGGCTTTGAGGGGCGACGCCCGCCCAGCACGGGATCCAGAGGCTCCAGAGGGTCCCAGCGATCTGCCAGCACCTTGGACTAACCTCGGGAGATACGGGGGGGTGTTTTTTCCCCAACAGCTGAAAGCTTTTGGGGTCTCAGCCCAGATAGGTCCGGGGCGGCCCTGAGGTAAGGTTCCACGAGGGTTCCACCAGGGTTCCACCAGGGTTCCACCAGGGTTCCACCAGGGTTTCACCAGGTTCTGCGAGGGCTGCAGGGTGGTCCGTGGTTGAGGTGAGGTTCCACGAGGGTTCCACGAGGGTTCCACCAGGGGTCCGGGGTTGTTTGAGGTAAGGTTCCACAGGGTTTGCGCCATCGCGCCCGATCGGGGCCCGACTCAGTTGTAAGGCCGCATCCTAAGGAAAACCGGCGTTGAGCTTTGCTATGGGTGGCTGGGGTTGCACTAGACCATCGGGCCCCAATCGGGCCCCGATTGCACGGCCGGGCCCCGATCGGGCCCCAATTGCGCTCGGGCCCCGATCGGGCCCCGATTGCGCCGTCGGGCCCCGATCAGGGCGCGATTGCGCTGTCACTCTTAGGTTTGCTTTCTAAAGTCACAACACCGGCGGTGAGGTGGGTCCCGGGGCGTTCCGCGAGGATTCTGGGAGGGTGTGGTGCTGTTGAGGGATATCGCCTGAGCTTATTTGCTTTCCTTGTATGAAGGGCAAGCTTCCAATGCATGGCGGAGACTTGCTCCAAATCGACGCCTGGCCCTCTTGGTTACCCTTGGTTGACCTTCCCGTCATGGTAACGCAAAGGCAATTGCTGTTTGTTTGATTGGACCCGTTTTCGCGGAATGCGTATTTTTTAATGCTTGGCACCGGCTCGGTAGCACCGGCTCGGCAGCCCAGAGTCGGTCGGCAGGTTTGGGCACCTGAAGTTGCTTGAGGCTGGTTTGGGGTAGATGTTTGTTTTGCTAGATTGAGCCTGATGTTGGTGTAGGGCTGGGCTGCTGGTTGTCGGGGTTTGGGCTGGCTTGGGGCTGGCTTCAGGCTCTTGAAGGGTGGTCAACGACTGCTTTTAGTATTTAGCTTAGTCTTCGTTGAAGGTCGGTGTTGGCTTGGGCTTAAAGCTGGCGTCAAGCTGACTGGACAGCTTACAGGTTGTTTGTATATGGCTGTGATTTCAACATAGGGAACTACCTCCTAAATGGTTGCACCCCAAAAATCCACTCAACGTCCCACCAAATACCTCCCGAACCGAACGCGGCCGATGCCCCGCAAATCGGAGGCTCGGCATCTTCCCTGCGGTCCTCCGTGGCCGGGCTGCCAGAGGTGGGCTCCATCTCCTTCATCTTCAACGGCTACTCCGCAGGCACCGGGCGGAAGCGCCGCACCACCCGACGCGAGCGAATCCGAGTCCCAAACAATTGGCAGCGATAGGGTGGGGAAGGTGGGAAACCCAGAGGTTCCCTTTAAAGGAAGCCACCAGGGATGGGTGCAAAAGGGTCACGCCCTCATTCCCCACCGAGCACCAGCAAGGTGGATGGAGCGGCCATTCTTGTCATTGCTTTCGGGTGGACCAACCAGTGTTTCCATGCTCCTGCTGAAAGTTGGAGAAAGGGACAAGTCTGAGCCAATCAGCGTATCCTCTTTTTTAAGCGCGCCAACTTGTTTCACTATCCATTCCAAGACGTCCAGATAGGTGCCAAGATCCAAGGCTGCAAGGGGAGCCAAAGGAAAACAACTCGAGGGCTGCGACAAACCCATTCAGGTATTTTTTTAGAGGGACCCCCCTCAAAATGGTGGAGTTCCCTTGAAAACAAATCGAGCCTCAAAAAAGGGACGAGCCACACATCTGTGGCAACTCCTCGCGTGGGCAACTGATGGCTCGGAGGCCTCAGCATCGTCGAAGCCACGCTGCGCTTCGACAACTTCGATGACAAGACCCAGGAGCCTGCGCGCGTGCCGGAGATGAAGCCGGGAAGCCCAACCGGCCGAGGAGGGCCCCACCGGGGCCTTGGCGGTGGGGTTTTGGGGACGACCGCTCTTCTTTGTTTGTTTGTTTTTGGGGGTGGGGGGAGGGGGGGCAGGGGTGCTTCTTTGAATATGTGTTTGCTTGTCGCTTTCCTTTCAAGTTTGGATAAAGGGCGCATGGGTTCTGAGGTCATGCTTTTTTAACGCTACCTTAAAGCCAGCCGAAGTCATGACCATAAGGTCACGACATGCGTACTTTGTTCGGCCATAGTCTTACCTTTTTTTCAGGGGGGAGATGTAGCTGCCAGCCAAAAAGGGTGCCATGGATTGTTGAAGCAAACCCTTGGCCTTTTCAAAGCGTAAGTAGAAGCCACCAGCCAAACATTGTTTCCTTGTTCAATGTCCAGCCCTGGGCCATTGGCTGCGAACACGGAACCTGACTGGAGGCCCCTGAAAGACAATTCTTCTTGTGGGCCCTTCTGGCAAGGCAGCGGTTTCCCCACAGGGTCCCTTCTACATCGCCAGGCCCTGTTGATTCTTTTTGCCTGCGTGTTCCGGTGGTTTCCCTTACCAGCGAGCTTAGATAGCTTTTTGTGGCCAGGAAAGTCACCTGCCGGGCCACGAGCCGGAGGGTTTGCGGGAAGGGATCCAAGTTCGGCTTTGTCTCTGGGAGGGTTTGTTGAAGTTACAGCCGTTCATTTTGTACGTTTATGGTTCGATGCCTTCGTGCGGCAGCCTGGGTTTATGGAATGGTCACCTGTACTCCTTCTTGGTGGGGACGCAACTGGCCAACTACATGGGTCACGAAGCTTCTTCTTTCTGTTCGTTTGTGTTCGTTTTACACATCCACAGTGGGGCTGTGTAAGGTTAAAACTACAACCCCAATTACATGGCGCATGCCATTTAGGTTTCAGGGGAGGCAGATTTCCTCCCGATGCTTGACCAGGAATGCAATATGTGCAACGGGCAACCAATTGGCCAAGTAGCCGAGCCGGGCGAATGGCTTCGATCCGAGGCATTGGATCCGATCCAAACACTGGGACCAGTTCAGGAATTGGGTCCAGACTGAGACCCAGAGATGTTGCGGAGGGCAGCCCGACCAGGCGCGGACGCGAAGCCAGAACTTTGCTTGTTCCCCAGGTAGCTGAAAGCTATAGGGGTTCTAACTTCTAACAAAGAGGGGGAAGTGATTTGCGAGATTGACGGGATGGTGCTAGGGGGCGGGCAGTTTGGGGTGCTGGTGAAGGTGCTGTTTGGGGGCACTGTTCGAGGCGCTGATATGATTGGCGGCCGGGCGCTAGCGGGCATAGGGGGCATGCAGCTTGGGGTTTGAGGCGTGCTGGTGACGATGCGGCGTTTTCGTGAGATTGATGCTTTGAGGGCAGGCGCCGGCGCGGGTGCATTTTTGCAAGATTGACGGTAGGGTCCAAGGGAGCATACAGCTTGGGGCTTGAGGCGTGCTGGTGACGGCGCGGCGATTTTGCGAGATTGATGCTTTGAGGGCAGGCGCCGGGGCGGGTGCATTTTTGCGAGATTGACGACAGGGTGCAAGGGGGCATGCAGTTTGGGATGCTGTTTGGCGTGCTGTTGGAGGTGCTAGTGACGGCGCGGCCAAGTGCTGTTTCGGGAGGGTGCTGCTGGAGGTGCTGGAGCACAATTGTCGGGCAGTGCATGAAGTGCACGAAGTGAGTGTGTTGTGCCGCACCCGCAGCACCGAGGTTCCCAAGATTTTTTGTGGTTTGCGCCCACCCTCCCTCCCTGGCTGACAGCCAATCAGAGAGCAGGGGGCAGGTAAGCCGCGTAGCCGGCGAAGGTGCCTGCGCCGCCCACGTCGGGCATCTGCTTTCTTGACAGCTGGAGTTTTGCCAACCAATGGCCATGGAGGTTGAGGACAAAAAATGAGGGCCATCGTCAGTTTGTGAGATTGCGTACAGAACTGAGTCGTAAACCAGTGCGAATGCACGTCAGACCTGACAGAGCACAGATTCTCAGATTGTCGGCATGTTTTTCGCTAAATGAGGTCTATGCGCTGGTGGCATTTTCAGGCGCATTAGAATGATTTGCCATGGCCCTTAGGAGAATCATGAAGACCTGGGGCTGCCTGCACTCATGCTCGTCGCCTGTGTGCTAAACGGTTGAACATTCAGTGTTCACCGCTGAGGGGGGTTGAAGGGAAAGGGCGCCAGGCGAGTGGCCCGATCCAAGGTCCAACATCAGTTCTTGTTGCATTTGACAAGTGATGTGTGCGGCGAGGACGTGTGATTTGCATTTTGTTGGAGCAGAAGTTGTAGTCCCAAAGCTGAAAGCTATATGGACTCACTGATAAAGGGGCGGTGGTTCTCGTGGACACTGCAAGGGTCTTTGCACCTAAACCTGAAACGCTCAGTTTCAATTCAATTAAGCTTACAGCCAAACAAGTACGTCACAAGAGGGGGTGCTACCGCACATCCCAGGAGACTCTCCACTTGCATCAAGCACCCTACGGACCCCTCCACCAACGCCCCCTGCCCACAGCTCAGGGTCCTCAACCCCTCGGTGCCAGTCAAAGCACCCGACTTCCGATCCCATCCGGTGCCAGACCCGCAACTTCGAGGGCCCGCTGGAGTTCTACTATCCTGGGCAGCCGGAAATGACACTGAGCTATCCGTTGGTTGTTTCTGGGTGTGTGGCCCTGCCTGCTTGTTTTTTTCTGTTTGCTTGTTCGTTGGCTTCCTGGTGTGCTTTGCCGGTGTGCTTGCTTGTTGGTTTGCTTTCCCCCTGGCTTGCCTTGCCCCTTGCTTGCTTGTTCGCTTGAATGGCTTGTCGGCTTGCTTGCTTGTTTGCTGCTGGCTTGCTTGTTTCTTTGCTTGCGCGTTTGTTGGCGCACTTGCTTGTTGATTCGCTTGTTTGCTTGCTTGCTTGCTTGCTCGCTCGCTCACTCGCTTGCTTGCTTGCTTGCTTGCTTTCCTTGGTGGTTTGCTCGCTTGCTTGCTTGCTTTGCTTTGCTTTGCTTTGCTTTGCTTTGCTTTGCTTTGCTTGCTTGCTTGCTTGCTTTCCTTGGTGGTTTGCTTGTTTGCTAGTTGGCTTGCTTGGTTGCTTGCTTGTATGTTTGCTTGTTTGCGTGTGTCGTGGTTGTTGGTTCGGTTATTGGGTTTCTGCTTGTTTGGGTGTTGCTTGCTTTGCTCGTGTTCTGCTTGTTTCTGTGCGTTGCTTGCTTTATTGTTTGTTGGTTTGTTTGTCTGCTTGTTGCGTTGCACGTGTGCTGGGTTGTTGGTGTGCTGCTCTGTTGCTGATTTGTGTGTTTCACTGGTTGTTTGTTTGTTTGCTTGTGTGCTTGTTTGCTTGTGTGTTGTGTTTGTGTTTGTGGGTGTTTGTTTGCTTGCTTGCTTGCTTGCATGTTTATTTTGTTAGTTTGCTTGTTTTTTTTGTTTGTTGGTGTGTGTGTGTGTGTGTGTTGGTTGTTGCTGGTGTTTTTGTGTTTTTTTTTGTTTTTTTTTGGGGGGGGGGTTGGTTGTTAGGTTCCTTGCTGCCTGCTGGCTGGCTGGCTGGCTGGCTGGCTGGCTGGCTGGCTGGCTGGCTGGCTGGCTGGCTGGCTGGCTGGCTGGCTGGCTGGCTGGCTGGATCTGGTCGGTTGGTTGGTTGGTTGAATGATTGGTTGGTTGGTTGTTGTTGTTGTTTTTGTGTGGCTGTCGCTGTGTGGCGGTGCTTTTGCGTTGTTTATTTATGTTGGCTTTGTGCATGTGTGCTTGCTTGGTTGCTCGCTTCTTTGATTGCTTGTGATTGTTCGTTTGAGTTGTGTTATATGTTTCCGTTTGTAATTTGTTTGTTGGTGTGGTTGTTTGTTTGTGTGTCTTTTTTGCTTGCATGGGGGATCTGTTTGTTTGTTGTGTGGGTGGATTGGTTGTTTGTTCGTTGTGTTGTTGTGTTTTGTCGGTTGTTTTGTTTTGTGTTGTTTGTTTGGTTGTTTGTTTGTTTGCATGTGTGTTTGCATGTTTGCATGTGTGTGTGTGTTTACATGTCTCTGTGTGTGTGTTGTGTGTTTGTTTGTGTTTGTTTTGTTTTGTGTTTGTTTGTTGCGCTGCTTGCCTGTGTGTTTCCCGCCTACATGTTTGACTGTTTGTTTGTCCGTTTGCTTGCTTGCCTTTTGGGACGGCCATGTTGCCGCAAAGTGAGCAAATGAGCAAAAGGCTCAAAGTGGCGGACCCTTCCCGAGCCCTTGAGTGATGCCTCTTTCCGTTCAACCAACTAAAGCAGCTGTCCTGTTCAATCCTGGGCACTCGCTGCAAGAAAAACAAAAACGACGACCCCACAAATCATGGCCTTTGATGGCACCAGAGCCCCTTAGACCTTCTGGACACAAGTAGCGTCTCCATGAAAGCCACAAAAGGGCAGACTTTAAGGGGGGTTGGAGTTCCACCAGTCCTTTGAACCAAGGACGCTGGTCGCCGGCAGCGTCACTGTCACACGACCCTGAGCTGCGATTTAGCCGGTAAGATCCATAAAGATCTGGGCATGTAATAAATGGGTTCCAGCTTGCTCCAAAGGACCATCATGTGCTTTTCGCGTCAGAAAGGAACACAAGGGTCGTTGTTCGAACTCGTTCAAGGGGTGCTTTTGATGTCTGGGCGCTAAATAGCTCATTTCCTCTAATTTGCCCACAGCAAAGCAAACCTCCTTTTTTTGGGAACGGGAGGGGGGGATTGAACGGACCCTTGCAAGTGTCCACTTTCCCTAGGGTTTCGGAACCACCCCTCTCTCCAAATTGTGCATTACCTTGCTTGGAAGAACCCCATCGGTGCTACAGTTTGTCCAGGGTTCCTCCCTTTGCCTGTTTCGAGTCACGCAAAGGTGTCCTTTGGCTGCCCGCGCTAAATGTCCACACTTGCGTACTTGCGTCGGTCAATGGGAGGACTGGTTCTTGGTGTGTGCTGTTTATTGTGCTTGTTTGGTCCTATTTGTTTTTAGCCAGTGGGGTTGCAAGGAACGACCTTTCTTTTTCTGACTGGAATACTGTACACTGTTTGTCGAAATCTACGTTTCGCCTTTGCATTTATGGCAATTCATGGCGTGCCATGCTTAGCAAGTGTCTTGAAGCACAGGACTAATCGATACCCATGTGAGAGCGTCAAGGACACGCGTTTTGCAGACCTGGCTAGAGTCAACTCCTTTAGGGACTGTCTGTTCAGCGCAGAAAGGGCTGAACCAGGGTTTCTGACCACTTACTTCAGGGTTTCATAGATTTCTCTGGTTGGTGATTTTCAACATCGCCTTTTGTGCCACTTTTAGATCTTCCCCTTGGAGGTGCTGTTTCAGCGGGGGGCTTGTTGCGGACCGAGCCGGAAGCAACGAGGCGTCCACAACGACTGGGACAGCGAGAGCGAGAACGAGGAGGCGGAGGAAGAGGCGGCTGAGGAAGACGCGCCCGTAGCGGATGGAGAGGGCGTCTTGGCAAGACCCTCTGACCAAAGGACAAGTGGCTCAAAATGAAACCGCTGGGGTCACGCAGGTTTTAGTTGTTGGTTTCATTTGAAAAGGTGCCATTTTGGTACATTTCCATGTGACTGATATGACCCGAAAGAAGCACCCTTTGGTTTCTTCTGCTTTTGTGGACGATGTGTGGACGCTAGCAAGGGCAAACCAGTTGGAGGAGTCTCCTTTTCTCGGACGAGCCCCTCATTCAAGCTATCGGTGGCTGCCATGTTCAAGAAGCAGACTGGATTTGGTCACTGATATTTCCTTTTTGGTGCGTTTGAAGGGGCTCCCTTGACGTGAGGATGGACAAACAAATTGCTGAAATTTGCTCAGATGTTTTTCCACCAGGACCCCTGAACAGAGCTTTTGGCTTTTGAACTTTGTTCACCCGCGCGTTCCCCGCTGCTCGCACCTCAGGTGGGTCCGGCGCACGCGTTGCACAGGCGGGAGTTGTTGGACGCATTGGCTTGGAACTGTGCCCATCGATACTTTGTCAAGGCCCCAGAAGGGTCAACCTTTTATGTCTTTGTCTTTGGGGCAAGCACCCCTTTGTTCAAAAAGTTACTGGTCTGGAAGCTAAGGTCCACACAGAAACTACCCATGTTTTGGAATCGTTCCTTGGCATGGCGCCGACTGGTTCCGAAGCTACCTTAGATTTACAAAATACCTTTGCAAATACTCTTGTTTCGGAAACCATGGCTGAACATCTCAGGTTCAGTTGTTCAGCCGGTGGTTGCATCTGCGTGGCAGACCCCAGATTGGTCAACAGTGGTGTTTCCCCAAGAACTGAATGAATCAGGATTATTCCTGGGTTCCCATCAAGTTTTCTGATGAGATGGCTGCGCTCTTTCTTCTGCAGCTGGTGCGCTCAGCTAAAACTTGGGAGGGGTCCAATTTCTGATTTCCGGCTGAAGTATGATCATTCACCCAAGTGGATGGTGAACCGGAGACGTTCCAGTTCCCATCCACAAGCGTGAAGGCACCTGGCTTTGTTATTTCCTTCTTGCAAACCAAGGGAGGTTGATTAATGATGTCCGGTGATGGGCAGAAGCGGGGTGAGTGGCCGTTGTTGATGCTTGTGCCATTGCTTTTCTGCTAGCGAGGCCAAATTTGCTGATTTCTAAAGCCAGCTAAAAGTTTGGTCCACACCCACGTATAGCGCTGCTTTTGCAGAGGTGGTTGCGCATTTGCACAGGCAAAGCTCTTAGAAGAGTCTTAGAGCCACCTTAAGAGGTCTTGGAAGGGTTTGCACCGAGCCTTTTTGGCAGGAGGGCATCCTATTGTTCCTTTGCTGTGGCTGTCGTTTTCTGTGTTTTTTTTGACCGCAGGCAGCCGAAGAAAGTCAAGATGCTGTTGCCTCAGCTCTGGGGAACTTGTCAAGGACGGCGAAGCCAAAGCCGCAGACCCATCCTGAATGCTCACTTCAGACGAACTATGAGTAATACGAGGGGCTGAAGTCCTATAACCACGCGAAAGAGAGGGGAACAAAAAGGGTTTAACAGTACCCCACTGCATTCTGATGATTTAGGGCCTTATGGTCAACCCCTTCGAACTGAGGAGTGGACCCCCTTGATGGGCAATCAACCTTAGGGTTAGCTGTGTCACGTGGATTAATCCGAAGTGGGCATTGACCTTGGTCCGACGATATTTCCCGTTTTGCAAGTGTCAACATGACCTCTTGATGCCCGTTCTATGAGTTTCCGCTCGGCGAGGCATTTTTTCGAAGGGGCAGATCCAGAAGCCTAAAAGGCCGACTGCCTTCAAGTTCTCAAAGAAAACACCGGCGGATTGAAACGGCACCTCATTTTAGGGCCAACTTCTCCGAGGCAAAGAAAAGGGGTCTGCCCAAATGTTGTTTGAACTATGTCGCTTCGCTCCGAGTCCTTACAGGTCGAGGCACCTCCCCCCCACAGGCCACAACTCTGCCGGCCTTTGGCTCTCTGAGGAAATGTTGGACCTTTCCTGGCTGTTGGCTATTTTTGACCTTCAACTTGTTCGGAAAGGTTGTTGTTCCGCGGGGGCAGTAGCTTGCCGCCAAGCCTTTGACCTTCAGTCGGGCATGTGGTTCTTGCCAGCGACCAGAGCAACGCCTAGCTGGGCAGGCGTTGCCACCAGGTATTTAATCCCTACTAAAAGGCCTACCAGGGCCTGACGTTCAAGAAGGTGCCTTGAGAAAGCCAGTGAATTTCAAGATTCCGGGGGTGAACTCCTGAACATCTTTTGGGGGCGTGCTCCCTTGGTGACGGGCTCGAGTGCCGGTAGAGCACCCAGGTGTTTGACAACCCCTTCATTGACGGGGACCCGAATGCAGAGGCTGGATGGAATTCGGGGGGCGGGGATTTACCACGATTTGTCAGGGTTTTTTGGCTGAGTATGATTGGTTTACTGGAGTTTTGTAGAGCATTCACAGCCCTTTTGCGGGACATCAGATGTTTCCAGCTTCAGTTTCCCCGTTTGAGCTCACGATCCTTGGCGATCCTTTCCGAGTCCTTTTGCCAGGTAAGGATTTGCTTGGGACCATCCAATCGGGAAGTGAGGGCAGATGCGAGGCCAGATCTGTGTCCGGATTTTTGGGCCCGGCCGTTTCTTGTCATCGAGGTTCCCTAAATTTCATTTTGACACATTTCACCCACCAAACAACAAACCAACTCTCTTTTGGTGGTTTCGATTATCACCTTGGCCTATTAAAAGCGAGTGTCCTTCCTGGCTCAGGCTTACAGGGCAAATGATTGGCCATGTTGATTCGTTTGGAACATTTGCCCATGTCTTTTGCGGGCATCCTCAATTCTCAATGGGAAGGTTCCACCTCTAGACGACGTTGAGGGACTCCTGTACCAAGGAACATGCGGGCCCCACAAATTGTGTGTGTGTTCTCTTCTTGGTGTCCCTGGAAAGCCCCCCAGGAAAGGGAACCCTACGTCCCGCCAGCGTATGCGCCAGGTGGATGCGCTATTGGTCGACTCTTGGCAGAGTTTACGCGTGTTCAGGAACAGTTACCCAGTTCTCTGATACCACCCATTTGAGTTGGAAGGCCTCCCAGCAGTGCAACCACTTCCGGGGGCTGCACACCCTGAGGGGTTGATCCCCCTCAGAACCGCCTCAGTGAATGGGAAGATTCCTTGGGGTAAGTGATGGGGTTCCAACTGGAGTCTGAGCTTTCTGGGTGCTTGCGTCATTTCAGGGGCCTTCATCGGTAGAACCGGCACCAGGCCTGGTGCCATGCTACTGGTTTGTCGCAGGCTTGCCGGTTTTCACTGGTTGTTGCTTTCATCAACTGCCTTCTATGTTTCTTTGTGCCCATTTTTTGTGTGCAGAAACGAGTAGCTATTTGTTTGAAGCACATGGGGGCGATCCCATGTTTCAGGAATTCCCTCTAGCACGTGTTGAGGGAGAACGTTGGTTTGAAGGTCACTAGGACTTAGCACGGTGAAAGCAATGAGTCTCAATTATTTGAACGCTTGTGAATTTACAGGTCTTGGTGTCTTGTTGGTTTAGGACTGGCACCTGAGGTTGGTTTAGAGCAGCTTTGGGATTGGTAGGCGAGCTTATGCTTGCCTTCGGATTGCTGCTTTGGGTGAGCTTTCAGGTGGGTTTCGGGGCCGGTCTGGGGTTTCAGGCTCAAGCTGTTTTGGGTTCAGAGTTGGTTTGGAATGGGCTTTTTGAGCCATAAATGCAGAGCCTTTGGGCAAAACAAAACCGGGCGCTTGGTATGTCCCGCCCGGGTTCCCTTCCCCAGTCTGCGGTGCTTTGAGGTTGCGTCACCTAGCGTGGCATGTTCCTTGAAAAGGCAAAGGGCGGCCTTCTTTGGTGGACCTCGCCGTGGTTCTTTTTGGGGGGGGGGCTCCTGAGCTGTTCCATTCCGCATATTCCTTTTTATGCGAGGGCGAGCTTGGGATCCCTGCACTCCCCATGTGCAACCCTGGGCTTGCTCCAACTCAGACACCGCTCTCTCGAGCTGAGGAAGTGGAGTGCAAGGCCCCCGAAGGGGGGCGAGAGGGAGCTCGTGGTGTGGTGATATTTGGGCCCCACGCGGCCTCAAATGCCGGGTTGCCTTTAGAGAGAGCATTCGGACCCAAAATTGACATTTTCACGGAATATTTGAAGCTGTTCTCACACTACGTTGGGGGGCAAATTTTAAAGGGTCGGTGTGAGGATGTGACTTTAATGTCAGGATGGTCATGGCTTAATGGGGTTGTCTTACAATTGGCTCGCAGCAAAAAGGGCTACCAGCGGTGCTGGGGTGGCGTGGGGAGGCTGAAAGGGTTTCAGTTGTTGGCTTGGCGTGTTTCTTTGCTGGTTTCTTCGTTCATTGGCTTTGTTAAATATCGTTTGTTTCACGATATTCTCACGAATATCCCAAGAAATTCTGCCAGGGTGGCCCTGTCCTTCCATTTGCTCAACAAGATGCATATGGTTTCCTGCCTCTTGGTCCGAACAGGCGGCCGCCTCCGCGGAAACAAAACTCGAACAGCCCAAAAATCGCCTCCACCCGAAAACTTTCTTTTTTTCTCTGGGGCGGACTGAAGATTCGGCGCTCCGTTCCGGCCAGGCCTTCTCGCAGTACCGGAGCCTCAGCAAGCGGAAGTCCGGGCGGCGCTACGGGCACCTGCACCGCCAGAAGCCCCTGGAGCCCAGCGCGGCCCTCGGCCGACCCAAACCGACCGGGAGGGTGGGGGGGGGGGGGGAAGGCGGGCTTTTTCTTGGTTTCACCCACTGCGAAAAGGGGTACCCGCAACATATGATGCTCAAAGGACACATTTGGAACGGAGAAACACGCGAACGATCTCTGGTCCTTTTGGCATGGTCTTGGGCAACCTTCACCCCTGCTTTCGAAGGCGGTTCAGAAAGTCATGCTCAAAGCTTAAGCGGCTGATCTCTAATTTGCGAAAATGCCGATGGTGGAAAAGAATAGAAAAGGAGTCAAACCCTATCCTGCAGAGGGGCATGTTCAAAATCGTGGGCAGTTCAGCCCCCAGCAGATGCTGTTTTTTTTTCTTTTTTTTCTTGGGTTCCCTTTAGCAAGAACAAGAGTGTAGTCTCAAGAAAAAGGCAGACCCATGTATAGAGAAGGGGGGGTTGATTAGAAGGTGCTTTACATGGGATGGCTAAGGAAACAAATGCGGATCAACCCCCCAATATTTATTTGGGCCTGCCTGCTTGAATGTGACCTCCCCCCCCAAACAGTGCCAACAGTCACAAGTTCCAGGTTAATCGGGTTTGGGGGGTTGAGCTTGAAAGCGTCGGGCCAATGCACGTATTGCCACTTCTTATTTAGCGCACTTTTTCATAACCAATCCCCAGATCTGGAGTCTAAGCCTTTGAGTTCGCTTCTGAGTTGATATGAGGGATGGCCCGAAAACAGTGCCATTGAAAGGGATCTAGGGACAACCCCCCGAGTGAGGGTGCCCCCGCAGTTTTGGCCATGTGAAGAAATTGACGGTATGGAGCCATTCTTAGCGCGAGCGAAGCTGTGCTCAGAGCGTGCACGGCAGTCGCGGTGCAGCCTATACGGCAGGCCTTGCAAGGTCTGATGCCTTGCGAAGGCCGCGGCCGTTGGAAGAGATGCCAACTAAGCCAATCGCTCGCTGGTGATGTGCCTCCGCCAAACGAAGCACTATGCCGTCAGCTCGGCAAGTAATGCGACTACGAGATCTGTCCAGCCCGTCCAGTAGAAAGCACCCCAAACCGAACGAGCGGCAAAGCAGCCGCAAACAAGAACGAACAACCCCAACCAAAAAGGCAAAGGTTGGACGGGTAAAGAGAGACCTCAAAGGCTTCATTAAAGGGCCCCGGAATTGGCTCGGCCCGGAAAAGCGAAATCAGCTTGCTGAGTGAGCAAAAATGTGAGCTCGATCATACTGATGGGCTCAAGTTGGCATGCAACGTCATCCCACTCCTCCAGTTGAGCAACCAACTGCGCTGTAAATTCAACAGGGCACTGACCAGTGCCAAGGCCGGGGGTCTGAAACCAAGCAAGCGGGAGCTGCTCAGCGAGGCTGTGATGCCCAACATGTGCGGCCCAGTCAAGCTGTGGTTCGCGCCCACCTTGCAAGTCGGGCAACTGCGGTTCGCTTTCATGCTGGATCGAATCGGCGACAGCAAGATAAAGCGTCTGCAATATCCGAATTACATGCGTCCAACTGTTGCACCACTGCGTCTGCATTTGCAAGATACGCTCAAGTGGGCTCCCGGCTCTCATTGAAAGAGAAAGCAATGCTGTCTGCAATGTTGTTCCAAGTGCAAATCCATTCCTCAAACCCGTCTGCGCATTGTACCAAGTCCAAATGCGAAGGTATCCAGTGTATTGAAAGCTGCCGTGGCTCTGTGTGCTGGATTTGCTCCGCAAGAGCTGCCAAGAGGTCGTGGTTATCCGGCGTGCCACGAAGGCATCTGTGATCGCCCTGCTGCAGTGCTGTAGCTACCTGTACTGTGTTCTTGGAGTCGCACCAGATTTGAGCATTGCACTGAAAAGTGGCAACCCAGGATACTGCTGCGATGAGCGCCTGAAGTTCTGCGCGGTTGCTTGACTGCGTAAGACCAGCCAAATGACCCCCGGAGATAACGTCAGAGCTGCTGGCGTTCACGACCGCCCAAGCTGCAAGTGGAGCTGTACCCCCCGCATGTCGCGTACAACTTCCATTTGTAAAGATGTGTTGCATGCCGCCGGTGGGTTTGGAGTAAAACTTAAAACTGCAAGGCGTCTGCAAAAGTATCTGCCTATACTTCGTCAAGTAGGGTGAGCGTGGGACCAACAGATGTTGCATGAAGCTGCAGGGTTTCGTCTGTAACCACGTCAGGATCTCTGGTTGGTCCAGCCTGTGCTCCGCAAATTTTGGACACTCAACCCAATGAAGCTGCGTGTTCGGTACATTGCAAACGGCGCAGTCTGCATGTTTGGTGAGGTCAAACCGGGATTGTTGCCAGGGGGAAATGAACGAACCTTCCCGTATGCAGTTGATCTGCGCAAGCTGCAAAGGCGTGAGTTTGTCATCAAATTGAAGGGTCTGAAACTTGTCAATGCCTGCCAAATCCGAAAGTGTGGAGCGGTGCCGTACTCGTTCTGCCACATGCTGCATCCACGCTTCCTCCAATAAGGAGGCAAGGGCAACCGAGTCCAGTGTGAGGAGGTTGTGAATGAAGCCATCATGATCGGAGAAAAGGGGAGGCACCAAAATCTGCCATCCAATTGTAAGGAAATGTTGCCTGAGCTTCGTGAAAGGTCCTGCCAGGGTGGCATTGGAGCTTGTGCTTTCATTGCTCTTGCAACTGTGGGGATTTCTTGCTGATGCGCCGAAAATCGTGCACCGTGTGAAGAAGCTGGTAGTAACCCGGATCTGCAGTAGGCTGCTTGCTGATTGAAAGTCGAATGAGTGGACTGGCTCCGCCATGTGCAACTCCCAAGGCACGGACTGCTGATGTACGGAGCTTTTTCAGGTGATTGTCCGATATCGGGCAACTGCTGGCACCGTGTAGAATGCTCGGCCAGAAAACCATTGGCAACATAGCTACCTTCTTGGCAAAGGGTGCGCGAGAGCGACGGAGTCGCAACCATCTGTCTTCCTGCTGCGTTCCACGCTGAGCGAATAGGCGATTGCGTCTCTGCTTCGTGAAAGACATGATGCCACCAAGCTCTCGGGCGTCAAGCACCATGGAGAATCCCAGAGGCAGAACACCGCGCCTGGTGTGTTTTGTAGTGCCCCAAGTGTACGTCTTGGAGGAATCCAAGGTCATTCCCCATAGTGCAAAGAAGGCCTGTAGTGAAAACCAGGCCGCCGCGATTGTCGGTGCCTGATCTGCCGTAAGGATGATGTTGTCCACGAAACTCAGTGTGCGTACAGCGGGACAGAACTGCGTTTGGTAGCAGTGAAGACACCAGCTAAGTAAAGCCATGGCGGAAACACTGAGCGGACATCCTTCGGGAAAGCCTACATTCGACAAGTGCGGGTCTCCAATATGATTCAAAATTTTGAACCGACGTCTGAAGCCAGCGAGGAATGCTCTCCAAGGGCTCAATATCTGTGACGGTATTCCAAGGTGTTGCGCCAACATAAACAACGGATCCCGCCGAATATGATTAAAAGCACGCACAACGTCAGTGGATAACCCGCACAAGTCGGCGCCTGATTGAAGTGCAAGTTCAATTTGTCCTTGCAGGGGGAGCCAGACCTGCATTGTCTCACGGCCTGGGATGAACCCAAAGGCGTCTTCATGGATATAACCATCAAGTTGCTCCAAAAGTTGCCTGGATCTGATTGAAGACCAGCATCTGTAAATGGTCGGCAGCAGCACTATCGGCCGAAACTGTCCTGCTGTATGCGAGTCATCCTGCTTGGCTAGAGCAATGACAAATGCCTCAAGCAATTGGTCAGGCCAAGCAGTTTCAAGGTTCTCAATGGAGTGGAGAAGGCTAAGCAATGCATGTATTTGCGAAGAGCTCATATGAGCGAGATCGGTATGTTGGTACCCATCTGCGCCTCGTGCTGCTCCTGGCTTAAAGTGATGCAAAGCTTTGCGCCACTGGCGCTCTGAAATGGGTGGGAAGTTGAAACGAATTGTGGGCATGTAGCCCTTGACAAAATTGCCAATGCGGTCAATATCTGATTCTGATGGTGGTGCTGAAGCAATCCATCTGCTGCGCCAATGTTCGCCGAGTTGGTGTATGACTTCCGCAGGTGAAGAGTGGTGAACTCTCTGGGTTAGACTGTCGCCCGCTTCAAGCTGCAGGTTGGTCTGTGCAGTGATGATGTCTCCTTCGATATTGGAGACGAGAACCGGTTGGTCGTCGTAAGTCCAAGTGCTCCGAGGAATAGTGGAAACCTCCGCATCAAGGTGGACTTGGCCGCCAGAATTGTAAATTCCTGCTCCTCCCACAATGCATCGATCTGTTCCCGCCTGGTGTTGCGAAGGTCCTGGAAAAGAGCCTGAAATGTATGTTCGCACTTTGCACTGAGAAGTTGAAGCCGTTGCAAATAATGCCAGTGTTCAAATTCCCGGAACCGTCGCTCGAAGGCCGTGAAAATCCATTCTGCTTGTACTGCGGTAGGCGGATACGCCGGCAGAGAGCCAATATCATTGTCAAATTGTGTGTCCCACCAGCGCGGAAATGACATTTGGAACCCGGAGGATCGGCGGATTGAAGCCCAAAGTTCGGCTCTGTAAATCTGAGCATCAATTGTGGATTTAGCTGATCGAGCCGCATGTAGATATGATTGCAATCTCCTCAGCTGACGGTACCATCGCAAGACGGCTTGTCCAGGTAGATCGTAGCAAAGCTGCACCTCGCCTTGTCTGCTCGCCCGACAGGTGGGGGGCGTGGTTGTCTGCACCGCGGGTGTGGTTCGTTGACCACGACCTCTGTGTGAAGAAGGCAGCTTGTGATCGGGGGTACCCTGGACAAAACCTTCTAGCGAGGCTTCGAAGTTCTTGGAGAATTGTGCAAAGAATGCAGTGGGATCAGAATCCGGATCGAATGGTGTGGTGGAAGAGCATGAAGCGGTCCACTCCGGGAGGTTGATGTCCGCCCAATCAATCTTGTGCAGCAAGGGCCAGGCAGGGGCAAGATCAATATCAAAATCAGCCATAACTGTGCTGTGATCAATGAAAAATCCTCAATCTTCATTGAACCACAAATGGC